TCACGGTGAGCAGTAGAGCCATGGTAGTAGAGAGGGTTTGTTATTTGTTGTTGGTAGCGCGGCAGGTAAGGTTGGCGTGGAGTAGTCCCCCAAAGGGGGGGGTGTTCACCTCCGTCCTTTCCTGCCGCAAGCCCACCCGACCCTACTAGGGGGTGATTCATGGTGTGGGTTGGCGGCCCTCCTGGTGACCCCGGGGTGCGCGGTTGGCCGGATCGTGCCCTCTCCCCCAGGGACTTGGTGCCGCCGCCCGCGGTATTAAAATCATCAGGTAACTTTGGGTGTAAAGGCGAGGCTCGTTGAGGTAAGTAGAAGGTGACTGGGGACCCGGGGGTAGTTTTAAGGGACCAGGTCCCTAGGGTGGGGTTTAAAGGGGACCCGGGAAAATGGGGAGGGAAAGAGTAAAAAGGTAACCAGGGGGGAGGATGTAGGTGACCCAGATCACTTGGGGGAAGCCCCTTTAAAGGGAAAAAAAAATTTTGGGGGAAGTTTAAGGTAACCCAAATCACGAGGGGAAGCTTTTTGGGACCGATCACCTGAGTAAGTTTAAAGGGCACCCTACCGTGGGGGAGCTTTAAGGTGAGCAGATACCTACGATAAGCTTTAATATGACCAAATCACCTGAGGGAAGTTTTAAGGGGACCAGTTCACCCGGGGGGAAGTTTAATTAAAGATCCCAGGGTAAACTTTAAGGTGACCAAACACCGGGGGGGAAACTATAAGGTGCCAGGTCACTGGGATAAGCTTTAAGGAACCAGTTCACCTGGGTTTTAAACTTTAAAGGGGACCAGATCACCCGGGTTAAAACTTTTAAAGGGGACCCAAATTTAAATGGGGAAGCAAAGTGCCCAACACAACACACCCGCTTTCAAGCAAGAACACTGTCACAACATCACCAGTGTTACAAGCAAAAACCTGTGTGCAAATCCCAGTGTTTCTAGGAAGAAAACGGGCCCAAACACCAGTGTTACAAGCAAGAACATGTGTGCAAAACATCAGCAGTGTTTCAAGCAAGAAAAAACTGTGTGCACACATCCGTGTTATAACAAGAACACTGGGCAAATCACCATGTTAAGCAAGAAACTGTGGCACAACTCACAAGGTTACAAGCAAGAACACTGTGTGCACAACATCACCATGTTACAAGCATGAAAACCTGTGTGCACAACTCGTAAGTGTTCAAGCAAGAACACCTTTTCAAATTCACCAGTGTTGCAAGCAAAAAACTGTGTGAACACTCACCGTGTTACAAGCAAGAACACTGTGCATGCTTACCGGGTTACAAGCAGAACACTTGGCACAACATCACCATGTAAAGCAAGAAAAACTGTGTGACAACATCACAAGTGTTACAAGCAAGAACACTGTGTGCACAACATCGTAAGTGTTACAAGCAAGAACACTGTGTGCACAACATCGTAAGCGTTACAAGCAACAACACTGTGTGCACAACATCACCAGTGTTACAAGCAAAAACACTGTGCAAAACATCACACAGGCGATTTACAAGCAAGAACACTGTGGACAACATCACAGGCGTAACAAGGCAGAACACTGTGTGCACAACATCACCAGTGTTACAAACAAGAACACTGTGCACAACATCAACAGTGTTACAAGAAAAAACACTGTGTGCACAACATCACCAGTGTTACAAGCAAGAACACTGTGTGCGCAACATCACCAGTGTTACAAGCAAGAACACTGTGTGCACAACATCACCAGTGTTACAAGCAAGAACACTGTGTTCACAACACACCCAGATGTAACTAGGAAGAACAAACTGTGCACAACAACACCAGTGTAACAACAAGAACACAGCGTGTTCACAACATCAGCAGTGTTACAACAAGAACACTGTTGCACAACATCACCAGGTTACAAGCAAGAACATACTGTGTGCACAACATCCCAGTGTTACAAGTAACACACAGTGTGGCACATACAGTCACTAGAGTAACCTGCAAGAACACTGAGTGCAACAACATCACCAGTGATACAATGCAGAGAACACTGTGTTCACAACATCACACCAGTGTTTACAAGCAAGAACACTGTGTGCACAACATCACCAGTGTTGCAAGCAAGAACACTGTGTGCACAACATCACCAGTGTTACAGGCAAGAACAATGTGTGCACAACATCACCATTGTACAGCAAGAACAAGTGTGGTCACAAAATCACCAGTGTTTTATAGGCAAGAACACTGATGTGCACAACATCACCAGGTGCTACAAGCAAGAAACAACTGTTGCACGAACGTCCCCATGTTACAAGCAAAGAACACTGTGTGCCACAACATCAAGAGTGTTATAGCAAGTAACAGCTGTTTATCACTAACATCAACCAGGCGTTACAAGCAAGAAACACTGTACACAACATCACCAGTGTTACAAGCAAGAACACTGTCCACAACATCACTAGTGTTACAAGCAAGAACACTGTGTGCACACCATCACCAGTGTTACAAGCAAGAACGCTGTGTGCACAACATGACCAGTGTTACAAGCAAGAACAGTGTGTGCATAACATCACCAGTGTTACAAGCAAGAACAGTGTGTGCACAACATCACCAGTGCTACAAGCAAGAACACTGTCCACAACATCACTAGTGTTACAAGCAAGAACACTGTCCATAGCATCCCCAGTGTTACAAGCAAGAACACTGTGCACAACATCACCAGTGTTACAAGCAAGAACACTGTGCATAGCATGACCCGTGTTACAAGCAAGAATACTGAGCACAACATCACCAGTGTTACAAGCAAGAACACTGTGCATAGCATCACCAGTGTTACAAGCAAGAACACTGTGTGCCAACAGTCCCCAGTGTTACGAAAGCAAGAACACAGAGCGCACAACATCACCAGTGTTACAAGCAAGAATACTGTGTGCACAACATCACTAGTGTTACAAGCAAGAACACTGTGTACACAGCATCACAAGTGTTACAAGCAAGAACACTGAGTGCACAACATCACCAGCGTTACAAGCAAGAACACTGTGTGCTCAACATCACCAGTGTTACAAGCAAGAACACTGTGCACAACGTCACCAAGTCACCAGTGTTACAAGCAAAGCAAGAACACTTTGTGCATAACATCACCAGTGTTACAAGCAAGAACACTGTGTGCATATCATCACCAGTGTTACAAGCATGAACACTGTGTGCACAACATCACCAGTGTAATAAGCAAGAACACTGTGTGCACAACATCACCAGTGTTACAAGCTAGAACCATCTGTGCACAACATCACACCAGTGTTACAAGCAAGAACAATGTGTGCACAACATCACCAGTGTTACAGGCAAGAACTCTGTGTGCACAAAATCACCAGTGTTGCAGGCAAGAACACTGTTTGCACAACATCACCAGTGTTACAAGCAAGAACACTGTGTGCACAACATCACCAGTGTTACAAGCAAGAACACTGTGTGCACAACATCACCAGTGTTACAAGCAAGAACACTGTGTGCACAACATCACCAGTGTTACAAGCAAGAACACTGTGTGCACAACGTCACCAGTGTTACAAGCAGGAACACTGTGTGCAAAACATCACCATGTTACAAGCAAGAAGCACTGTGTGCACAACATCACCAGTGTTACAAGCAAGAACACTGTGTGGACAACATCACCAGTGTTACAAGCAAGAACACTGTGTGCACCACATCACCAGTGTTATAAGCAAGAACACTGTGTGCACCACAACACCAGTGTTACAAGCAAGAACACTGTGTGCACATCACCAGTGTTACAAGCAAGAACACTGTGTGCACAACATCACCAGTGTTACAAGCAAGAACACTGTGTGCACAACATCACCAGTGTTACAAGCAAGCACACTTTGTGCACAACATCACCAGTGTTACAAGCAAGAACACTGTGTGCACAACATCACCTGTGGTTACCAAGCAAGAACACTGTGTCAACGAAACAGCACCAGTGTTACAAGCAAGAAACTGTGTCACAACATCACCCCAGTTTGTTACAAGCAAGAACACTGTGTGCACCCCAATCACCAGTGTGACAAGGCAAGAACACTGTGCACAACATCACCTGTCGTCAAGCATGAACACTGGTGCACAACATCATCCACGTACAAGCAAGAACACTGTGTGCACAACATCACCAGTGTTACAAGCAAGAACACTGTGTGCACAACATCACCAGTGTTACAAGCAAGAACACTGTGCACAACATCCCCATTTTACAAAGCAAGAACCCTGTGCACAACATCATCCAGTGTTACAAGCAAGAATCACTGTGTGCACAAACCTCACCAGCGTTTACAAGCAAGAACACTGTGTGCACAACATCAGCAGTGTTACAAGCAAGAACACTGAGTGCATAACATCACCAGTGTTACAAGCAAGAACACCGTGTGCACAACATCACCAGTGTTACAAGCAAGAACACTGTGTGCACAGCATCACCAGTGTTACAAGCAAGAACACTGTGTGCATAACATCACCAGTGTTACAAGCAAGAACACCGTGTGCACAACATCACCAGTGTATCAACGCAAGAACCACTGTGTGGCAACAAAATCACCATGTTTACATGGAAGAACACTGTTGCACAACCTCACAGTTGTTACAAGCAAGAACACTGTGTGCACAACATCACCAGTGTTACAAGCAAGAACACTGTGTGCACAACATCACTAGCGTTACAAGCAAGAACACTGTGTGCACAACATCACCTGTGTTACAAGCAAAAACACTGTGTGAACAACATCACCAGTGTTACAAGGAAGAACACTGTGTGCGCAACATCACCAGTGTTACAAGCAAGAACACTGTGCACAACATCACCAGTGTTACAAGGAAGTACACTGTGTGCACAACATCAGCAGTGTTACAAGCAAGAACACTGTGTGCACAACATCACCAGCGTTACAAGAAAGAACACTCTGCAAAACATCACCAGTGTTACAAGCAAGAACACTTTGTGCACAACATCACCAGTGTTACAAGCAAGAGCACTATGTGCACAACATCACCAGTGTTACAAGCAAGAACACTGTGTGCACACCATCACCAGTGTTACAAGCAAGAACATTGTGTGTACAACATCACCAGTGTTACAAGCAAGAACACTGTGTGCACAACATCACCAGTGTTACAAGCAAGAACACTCTGTGCACAACATCACCAGTGTTACAAGCAAGAACACTGTGTGCACAACATCACCAGTGTTACAAGCAAGAACACTTTGTCCACAACATCACCAGTGTTACAAGCAAGAATACTGTGTGCACAACATCACCAGTGTTACAAGCAAGAGCACTGTGTGCACAACATCACCAGTGTTACTAGCAAGAACACTGTGTGCACAACATCACCAGTGTTTCAAGGATGAACACTGTGTGCGCAACATCACCAGTGCTACAAGCAAGAACACTGTCAACAACATCACTAGTGTTACAAGCAAGAAGACTGTGGCACAACATCACCAGTGTTACAAGCAAGAACAGTGTGTGCACAACATCACCAGTGTTACAAGCAAGAACACTGTGCACAACATCACCAGTGTTACAAGCAAGAATACTGTGTGCACAACATCACCAGTGTTACAAGCAAGAACACTGTGCACAGCATCACCAGCGTTACAAGCAAGAACACCGTGCACAACATCACCAGTGTTACAAGCAAGAACACTGTGTGCACAACATCACCAGTGTTACAAGCAAGAACACTGTGCACAACATCACCAGTGTTACAAGCAAGAACACTGTGTGCACAACATCACCAGTGTTACAAGCAAGAACACTGTGCACAACATCATCACCAGCGTTACAAGCAAGAAACGACCGTGCACTACATCACCAGTGTTACAAGCAAGAACCTGTGTGCACAACATCACCAGTGTTACAAGCAAGAACACTGTGTGCACAACCTGCAACACATCTGAACACACGTGTTCTCGTCACAAGAGAAATCTAAAAAGATCAAATATCCCACCATATTACAAGGTGAACAAAATAGTGTTTATTCTGATCAGTGGTGTTCATCCTGAGTAGTGTTCATTCAGATTAGTGTTCATTCTGATGAGAGGTATTCATTCTGATCAGTGTTCATTCAGGTCAGCGGTGTTCATTCTGATCAGTGTTGTTCATTCTGATCACTGGTGCTCATTCTGATCAGTGGTGTTCATTTAGATCAGTGGTGTTCATTCTGATCAGTGGTGTTTATTCAGATCAGTGTTCATTCAGTTCAGTGGTGTTCATTCAGATCAGTGGTCTCAGTCTAATCAGTGGTGTT